TGTTCATGTACATAGCTGGGCGCGTACGTCCTTTGTGGGCTCCCTAACCTGGGGCGGAAGACTTGGATTGTCGGTGGGCGCGTACGTCCTTTGTGGGCTCCCTAACCTGGGGCGGAAGACTTGGATTGTCGGTTCGCGTCCCCTGGGTTCCTCTGGGGCCGTCTTTGGGCGCTCCTAGGCCGTCCTGGGGCCCTCTTGGAGGCCTCTTGGGCCGTTTTGGGGTGGTCTCGGGGGCCACCAGTGCCGTCCTGGAGCGCCGGAGCGCCGACAAGGGCGAGACTGCCTTTGGGGGGCCTCCTCGGGAGGCCTCTCGGGCGCCTCGAAAAGGCCTCCTGAGGCCATCTCGAGGCCACCTTGGGCGCCTTGGGCCGATTTGGGGGGCGCCTCGGGGCCTTCTCGGGCCCGAGAATCAGGAGGGGAAAAAACACACGGACACACAATTCATCGTCCATCCCCAGGAAAACATACGAACATGTGGGAAGTGGGGGGGAGACGAAAACCCAGAAAGTATGGCAAAATATGGAGAATCCTTTTCTTTGTGTGTATCTATTTGTGTGTCCCAGGGCCCCTTCAGAAATGCGCGCGCCGCTGCTCGGCAAAGCCCCGGGGGGCACGCGGGAAGCCCCACGGGGCCTCCTGAGGCCATCTTGGGCGTCTTGGGCGTCTTGGGCCATCTTGAGGCCATCTCGAGGCCACCTTGGGCGTCTTGGGCCGATTTGGGGGGCGCCTCGGGGCCCTCTCGGGCCCGAGAATCAGGAGGGGAAAAAACACACAGGCACAATTCATCGTCCATCCCCAGGAAAATATACGAACACATGGGAAGTGGGGGGGAAGACGAAAGCCCAGAAAATAGGGCAAAATATGGGGAATCCTTTTCTTTGTGTGTACTCCAGATTTCGTAATAAAGGGAGGGGGGTCTCATTTTGGGGGGGGTGTCTCTTCCAGGCTATCTTGGAGGGCCTGGGGGGGTCTGGGAAGGATGCCTTGGAGGGTTCTCCCACGGGGGGGGGTCCAAAACTTCTCGTCTGGGAGGGTCGAGACCCCCTCGCTTTTACTACGAAATCTGGAGCATCTATCTGTACGTCCCAGGGCCCCTTCAGAGATGCGCGCGCCGCCGCTCGGCAAAGCCCCGGGGGGGCACGCGGGCAGCCCCCCACAAGGGCGCGCGCCAGGCCTGCACGGGGGGCACGCGCCGGGCCCCCCGGATGCTCGGGCGCGAGGGCTCCAGGCCCCCCCCCCCCATCTCCCTCGGAGCGAGGCGGAGACCTGGAGGGCTGGACCCGGGACCTCCTGCCTCCTCCTCCTCCTCCCCTCCTCCTCCTCCCCTCCTCCTCCTCCTCCTCCTCCTCCTCCTCCCCCTTTCCCTTTCCCCCTCCCCTCCCCCCCTCCGTCCTCCTCCTCCTCCTCCTCCTCCTCCTCCTCCTCCTCCTCCTCCTCCTCCCTCCTCCTCCTCCTCCGCCTCACCCCCTCCTCCTCCTCTCCTCCTCCTCCTCTTCCTCCTCCTCCTCCTCCTCCATCCTCCTCCTCCTCCTCCTCCTCCTCCTCCTACCTCCTCCCCCCCTCTCCTTCTCCTCCTCCTCCTCTTCCTCCTCCATCCTCCTCCTCCTCCTCCTCCTCCTCCTCCTCCTCCTCCCGATTGGGCCGATCTTGGGCCCGAGAGATGTGCGCGCGCCACCGCTCGGCAGAGCCCCGAGGGGGCACGCGGGCCGCCCCCCCGGGGCGCGCGCCAGGCCTGCACGGGGGGCACGCGCCAGGCCCCCGGATGCTCGGGCGCGAGGGCTCCAGGCCCCCCCCCTTCTCCCTCGGGAGCGAGGGCGGGGACCTGGAGGGCTGGACCCGGGACCTCCTATCCTCTCCACCTCCTCCTCCTCCTCCTCCGTCCTCCTCCTCCCCCCTTCCCCTTTCCCCTCCCCCTCACCCTCCTCCTCCTCCTCCTCCTCCTCCTCCTCCTCCTCCTCCTTCCTCCTCCTCCTCCTCCTCCTCCCCTCCTTCTCCTCCTCCTCCTCCTCCTCTCTCCTCCTCTCCTCCTCCTCCTCCTCCTCCTCCTCCTCCCGATTGGGCCGATCTTGGGCCCGAGAAATATGCGCGCGCCGCCGCTCGGCAAAGCCCCGGGGGGCACGTGGGCAGCCCCCTGGGGCACGCGCCAAGGCTGCGGGGGGCACGCGCCAGGCCCCCCGGATGCTCGGGCGCGAGGGCTCCAGGCCCCCCCCCCCCCTGCCTCGGGAGCGGGGGCTGGCCTGGAGGACGGACCCGGACCTCCCTCCTCCTCCCTCCTCCTCCTCCCCTCCTCCTCCTCCTCCTCCTCCTCCTCCTCCTCCTCCTCCTCCCCTCCTTTCCCCTTTCCCCTCCCCCTCCCCTCTCCTCCTCCTCCTCCTCCTCCTCCTCTCCCCTCCTCCTCCTCCTCCCCTCCTCCTCCTCCACCCCCTCCTCCTCCTCCTCCCCCTCCCTCCTCCCCTTCCCTTCCTCCTCCTCCTCCTCCTCCTCCTCCTCCTCCTCCTCCTCCTCCTCCTCCTACCCGAGGACACGCCCACTCCGAGCCCCGCGGCACGGTGGCCCTGAGACGGGGGTCAATGCAAACCGGGGTCAGCCAGAGCGCCCGATCTTGCAGGATCCTGCAGGGCCAGGGTCGCATTGACCCGGGTTGGGATGCAGGATCTTGCAGGATCTTCTGCAATGCTTGAGTGACTGGGGTCTGGATTGACCTGGTTCAGAAGATCCCCGAACGCTTTAGTGTTGCTTAAGTGTTTCCGACACCTGGAGCGCCACCTTCGTCAGCAAAGGAGGGAAGGTGAGCAGAGCTTCCTGTTTTCGAACGTCTGCGGCACTCCAGCCTCGGGCGCCTGGGCGAGGGCCTTCTGAGGGTGCCCAGATCGTCCCGAACGGCCGCCAGAGGCCCGAGGCATGACCCCGAAAGCCACCAGCAGCCGCCCGGATGAGATCGGGTCTGCCCCTGCTCGCGGAGGCGCGAGGTGTTGCCGCAGGGTGCGCGGGGGGCGAGGGCGCCGCCGCTCGCCGGAGCAGAAGAGGCGCCCGGTCTCTTTCTGGAGGGCTCGTCCTGTTCGGCCCCAGGGCGCTGACCGGGACACCGGGCTCCACAGCCACTCTTGGTTCGCGTCTCTTTGGGAGTCAGGCCTCCCAGATGGGGCCCGACCAGACAGACGGGGTCGGGGCATCGCGCCGCATCGCCGGTGCGTCCCCGATGCGGCTCCATGGGGAGAGCCCGATCTTCTCTCCGCGTCCGCGCCGCCGATGCATCGCTGGCCTGCCGCACGCTGGCGCTGGCCACGCGTCCTGAGGAGCCCCCGGCGTGGGCGGGAGGAAGAGATGAAGGGACCCTGGGACACACAAACAAATGCACACAAATCACCGGATTCCCCATATTTTCCCATATTTTCTGGGTTTTTGTCCTCCCCCCCAAATCCCATATTTTCCCTTTCCCATATTTTCGGGGGAATCGACGATTAATTGTGACTGTGTGTTTTTTCCCCTCGTGAAGAGAGCCCCCCCCCCCCGGGCACCGAGAGGAGCTCGAGAGCGAGGCCCCGGGCGCCGGGCAAGGCGGGGCGGCCGCCTCGGGGGAGCCGGCGCCCGAGCCCCGCGGGGCAGGCTGCGGCAACGCCACGGTCGCCGCTCGCGGGGAGTGCCCGAGCACCACCAGCGGCGCGCTGGCGGCAGCAGCTGCATCCACGACCACCGCGGGCCCCTCCTCGAGCCCCGCCACGAGCTCGTCGCAGGCCGGCGAGGCGAGGGGCAGGGATGGGCAGGGAGGCGGCGGGAAGGGTCCCAGTTCGAAGATCGCCGTCGTGGTCCTCCGAGTCGTGTGGAATCCCGGAGTGCGCAGGATATTCCAAGGGGAGTCCAGAATTCATGTCGCGTCCGTCCCACGTGCACAGTGCCCATTATCGATAGCATTTTGCTGATGGCAGTCCTCGGGCTCCAGTGCTGGCTCTACTTGCTCTTCACCGCTGCTGCGCCCTTGCAGCGCCCGCGGGTGCGCCCTGGCCTTGGCCCCGGCTGCTGCCGCGGCCCCGCTGCCCTGGCTGGCCGCTCGGGCCCGCTCACCGCGGAATTCTTCCACGTCTGAGCGCCTGCTTCCTTCTCCCCCCGCGCGGCCGCCCTCCTCTCCTCCGCGTTCTCTTGCACGCCAGACAATTTGCCGATTGGTGCCCCCGATTAGCCCGACGTTGGTAAAAAAGTGCACAGTGCACTCGAAGGAACGAGGTGCCTTCGCTGCAACTTCGTGCGCGCCGCACCTGGCCTTCAGAGGGAAGCGAGCGCTGCGCGGCGTGAGCGCCGAGCTCTCTGCAGAAGCCTCGATGCTGATGCGTCATGCTCGCGAAGCGCTATTGAGAGGGGGGCCCACCACATGGGGCCCCACCAAGATTGCCAGGCCTCCTGCGGGTCGCGACCAGCATCCCCGTGACGGTTTGTCAGATGCCCAAGACCCCGCGCTGCTATTTCGACGGGGGGCAGGGGGCGAGTACAACAATTGGCAGAGATGGGGGAAGCAAGATTGGCGCGCTCGTGCCTCATCTGCCACACTACCCTTCCCTCCCTCCCATCCCTGATGATCGTGCCCCGAATGCTTATATTCGCCAACCTGGGTGTCGAATGCGACCTTGACCCTCGAATGGCATTTGCAGCGGGAGGGGCCGAGGAGCTAGGCGAAAGGATGGAGGAGAGGGACGGGGAGGACCAAGGGGAGGTAGCAGAGGAGAAAAAGGACAAATCCAGCAAGGACGACAAGCAGCAGCGGAAGAGATGCGGGGTGGAGGTTGCCGAGGGCGTGCAGTTCGAGGCCGTCAGAAGACAGGCCTGAAAAACCTTGCGTGTGAAGGCAATGCGCGGGCACTTGCCACAACTGCACCAGCGCCGAGTGGAGGACAGAGAGGCTCCCTTCTCCTCTTCCTCCTCCTCCTCCTCCTCCTCCTCCTCCTCCTCCTCTTCCTCCTCCTCCTTCCCATCCCCCTCCCCCTCCTCCTATCCCCCCTCGCTCGTCAGTTCCAATCGGTCGTATTTCGACATCATCTTGAGGGCCTTGAAGCCCCAGGGGTACATTCCGTCGGAGACAGGGTGCCTCAGAGCGCTGCTGTGCAATGTCACCTGGACCCAAATACCGTGCTGCTATTTCGTCTGCAAGTGCCGCCCTCTTCGAAAGGCTAAGGTGGGCTCTCTTTTTCTTAGGCTCTTAGGGGTGCGAGGCCTGCCAGAGCGAACGCGGAGCGTTGGTCAGCGCGGAGGTCATCCAGTGGGCCTTGGAGGCTCGTGAACAATCGATTGGGGAACTCATCAACTCCTCCTCCTCCTCCCCCTCCTCCTCCTCCTCCTTCTCCTCCTCCTCCTCCTGCTCCCTCAAAGGTGCGTTTGCCTGCCCAGTAGACGTAGTTCCAGGTCCCGTGAGGCCTGGACTGACATGGATGGAGTCAAGGCTGACTTCTTGTCCAGAGGGTATCGGGGATGTTGGCCTCGACTTCCCTGGGCCCGACCTCCAGAAGGTTATGAGACAGCTTCCCCTGGATAGAAGTTTTTCCCCGGCCAAGATCGAAGAACTCTCGCAGGGTGGCTGGGACTTTGTAACAGTCTCAGAGCACGGCCACCTCCTGGCCCGAGTCTTTGGGCCCGGGTGGGCCCACCTCCCTCAGACATCCCAGTGCGGAGAGTGTCACCGTTTCGCGGCCGCGGGGGTGAACCTCGACGGCGATGCTGTGCATTGTTCCGGCTGTATGTCAGCATTCCGCGATGGATCCAAGGGCCTTGTGGACAGAGTCTCGGGGCGCAGGCGTTGGGGTCCAAGCCCTTGCCTACACTGCTGGGATTGGACTTATCCGATGCCTCTTGTCGCCGCCCTCAGAAGAAGGAGCGCGAAGATACGCTGGTCCACGACTGGTTCTGGACTGAGGAGTCAATGTCTGGCGTGTCTCAGAGGCAAGCGTGGGGTGGACCGCCCTCCTCCTGGGCACAGTAGAGCCCGCCCGCGTCTTAACCCTCAGCTCCTGGACTCGCACGGTCATCATTGCGCTGTGGTGGATTGCTCGGGCGGATCCTTCATGTGTAAATGTCTCCGCTGCCACTTCTAGAGCCCAGGCGCCAGAGTCAGAAAAGTGGGGGGGGAACTGTGCTGGGCGCGAGGGGCCTGGTGCCGGCATAGCCGAGTGTAAGAACTTTCTCTGGGGCTGACACCTCGGGAGAGAAGAAAGGAGTAACACATGTGCAGCTCATCCCGTCTCCGTGGTCGGCCCCCATTTTCTGTTCCGAAGGAGCTGGCTTGGAACGGCCTGGGGCTTCAGGCACGCTCTCGCCGACCCCAGGCCCTGCCAGCACCGTGCCATGTGCGAATCCCCGCTCTTCCTCCGAGCCTCTCTCCTCGGAGGTAGGGGGTGGGGGTTCGGACGAGGATAGCAGGCCCCTCAGCCGCATCGCTGCCAGGGCGAGCGGCTGAGTTGGGCCTCGCTGTGCAGCGTTCCAGTGCCAGTTCTAGCTGTGGTCGGTCGGGCTCCAGTGTGCATGATCCTGTGTATGGTTTGCAGGTGAGCACTGCTCCCTGTCTCCTGGCGTCTGGGCCCCCCGTGCCCCCCCCTCTTCGGGACAGTCGGAGCCAGTTGCAGCAGATCCGTCGACTTCTCTTTCTGTTCAGGACAAAGTCGTCGACGCGACGGGTTCGGCCAAGCATGCCAGCGATTCTGGCAGCTCTGACTAGGGCCTTGGGCCAGCTTCCTTTCGATTTTCGTAGATATGGTTCGGGCCGTTAGTCTGGTTGATTCCCCAACCTCCTTTGTGGTGGCTGGGCTCAAGAGGTCCTCTGAAGAGGAGGTTATCAGGAGGTCGCTGTTATGGTCCTCCTCCTCCTCCTCCTTCTCCTTCTCCTCCCCCTCCTCCTTCTCACTCCTCCTCCTCCTCCTCCTCCTCCTCCTCCTCCTCCTCCTCCTCCTCCACCGCCTCCTCCTCCTATTGAAAGTCCGACCTGGCCGCGATTAACCTTCACCTCTTCTCTTCTGAATCCCGTGAATGCCTCCTGTCTCAATTCTTCGCACTTGATATGCTGCATAATGTTTGTTTCCACCTATTGCGTGCTAGTCATAACCGCTGCCTTTCCCCAGACCATGTCTTCTGTCTTTTCAGAACCCGCCTTCGTGTAAGGGGCCAAGAGAAGCCCCAACATCCAGAAGCTCGCCAGAGGCCAAACTCTTGAATAGAGCCCCGTGGCCCCCAATGGCGCGCGGCGGCCACGTGTACCGCGCGGCGGCCAAGCAGGACCGCCCAGCGCCCGCCGCTCCCGCCTGCGCGCGCCCGCGGGGCCACGACGGTGGACCTCTCTCCTTCCTCGGCGGGTGCCTTTCCTCCTCCTCCTCCTCGCTGATCCTCGCCGTTCTTCTCCTCCTCGCCCTCATGCTGCCCGTGCTGCTCCTGCCTCCTGTGAGTCCTTCTCGGGGCCCGCGGTCGGCGCATGCGCCCTCCCCCCCATCCAGCTGGCTTCGGCCCTGGTTCCCCACGCACTGCGTCAGGGGGCGGGGAGGGGGAATACAGTGCCGTTTTTAATACATGTTCCGCGTGCGGATCATGTATAAAAAATGCAGGGGTGTAGTATTAACAACAACGATAAGTTCATGCATACATGTATGCATAAATCAGTCATGTATCAAAAAACCATAGTTAAAACAAACAATGAAAAACCTATGTATTAAAAACTGCCCTGTAGCACTCGTATCGAGTCGTGGCACAAGCGGGACAGGACAGCTCCAGGCTCTGGGGCGGCAGCGCCCGGCCGGGGCGGCCGAAGACAAGCGGCCGAGAACGATCCGAACGGAAGGAAGCGCATGGGAAATACCAACCCGATGACGGCCCCACCGGGGGAAATAAGTTGTGCATGCATACCTGCAGGTGTACCATGGTACATACAGACGTACACTCATGCACACATACACACATACACATACATACATTCATACAGACAGACAGACAGACAGACAGGCAGAAAAACACATACATACACACACACATACATACATACATACATACATACATACATACATGCATGCATGCATACATACATACATACATACAGACATATCTATACATACATACAAACATACATACATACATACATACAGACATGCATATATACACACATGCATGCAAATCTACATGCCGTGTAACTGAATATGCAATGGTGGCAGTCGTGGGCAACCTATGTGGCGCAATCTCTATCTAGATCCATATATATGTGTGTGTGAGGTGCAGTATAAGTTGCGCAATCTACTTGCTGTCGTCAATGCTGTGCAATGGATGCATACCACAATATGTTGTATAAGCTGCGTGGTGCAGTCTGAGTGGTGCAAAACATGTGGCGAAATATACGTTATGCAGCCGACGTGGTGTCATCTATGTGGTGCAACCTGCGTGGTGCACGATATGTTGTGCGATTTACGTGGTGCAGTGTATATGGTTCTCTATAGGTTGCGCACGCTATGTTGGGCAACCTATGTTGTGGATTCCATGCGGTGCAACGAATGCGGTCCAATACATGGTGCGCGAGCTATGTGGTGCAGTCGGAGTGGTGCAATCTATGTTGTGCAGTTCACTTTGACTGTCTTGAAGCTGTCCTCTCCATTGCTTGTGCGAATATCCCACCCTCCCACCCGCAACTTGGTCGCAAGACCTCTTAAGACCGTGACGGTAGGTACCAAATGGCATTTGGCAACGACACCGACGCCGACGACGACAGCGACAACGACGACGACGCCGA